TTTTTTTTCAGCCGCCGGAGCGTGTTGTAGCCGAGGAGAGGTTCCCTCTCTTTTATAGGGGATAAACTGGTTTTGTGCTTCCAAGAGAGCATTCTTGAAGAACTCCCAGCACTCGCTGGCTCCTTTATCCTCCATGGAAGCTTCCCATGGAATCCCTCCCAGCTGAGCTCTGAGCGAGCTGAAGTTTGCTCTTCTAAAATCTAGAACCCTTGTCTCGGTGCTAACCTCCAGCACACTCAGCCGGATCCCGAACACCACAATATTGTGATCACTGCAGCCAAGGTTGTTATTGACCGAGATATTACAAAGCAGGTTTTCTTGGTTTGTGAATAGAAACATTTCTTGGTTTGATGAAAACTGCGTTGTGACCATGGACCCCCCACAACTTTCTGCAGCATTCCCATCTGGTCTCTCTCCCATCTCTGTTGCATTGCTTCCTAGTGGAAAACCAAGGGAAAGCCGATTTCAATGTGTCCCAGAGTGGAAATCCTCATCTGCCCACCGTGTTTCTTGAATAACGACACCAGAGACAGGCCTATCTTGAAATCTGGAAGCTGCTTTGCGAGGCCAATAATGAACAGTTTCGTTGTGTCAGGCACCTATGAAAGCCAAAAGCATAAATAAGTCGAAAAGGGATTAGAGAGACAAATCGACGGTTTGCAAACCGCGTGCTTTGTGTTCAGCCTCCAGCTCCAGCAGATGTAAATTACTGATGGGGAATAGCTGGGAGAATACACTTTTTTATCTGACCTTCTTTTGTAATCTTCTCTAAATGTCCGGCTACTGTTGGAGACTGGGCAGGGTGAGACAGACCTTCGGCCTGACTCAGTTCAGCCATATCTTCCGTGGCCAGCTGAAAGAGGCAGCAGAAGCACCGTGGCTAACCCAGCACGCTGGCAGTGGTCCGTACGGCCACACGCACAAGTTTCCCGAGCACACGGACGCTCTCCTCAGCTGCACCCCCCAACACGTGCACGTCCCTGCTTCTCCCCCAAAGCTTTCCTCCCTCCCCGCACCCCTCGTGCGCCAGCACTCCCAAACATCCCCTCAAATCAGCCTCCCCGCCTGCAAGGGAATAGCTCCGGGGAAGGAACAGAAAGCCGAGGTGAAAATGCAGCCGCCCCTTGCCATCGGGATGTCCGGAGAGTTTTTGCTGCCGGAGCACGAGTCGGGCAGCAGCCCTGCACCTCGGCCGCTGACGGGAGTGCCAGCCCGGAGAGCGATCCCTGCGCCAGGCAGCCCGTCCCCGGCTGCAGGGGCTCCCTGCAGGCACCCTGAGGAGGGGTCCCCTGCCTGCACGCCCCAGGGTGCCCCAGCTCTCATCCCCGCAAGGCAGGGAAGTCCCTGCTGTCCCCT